TGGCCTCCACCAAACACTTAAGAAACATCTTTAGGCATCTAAAAAAAAAATGCATCAACTCAAGACAGCCAGGAAATAACTGGAGGACACCAACTGCTAGCACAGCACAACAGAGCTCGGTTTAAAGATCTGTGGGTTACGTGAGAAGATCTGAACAGCTTTTATAATGAGAATGAGGGAAAGAGCCCCTAAAGCAAAGTCGCATGCCACCCCCTTCTTCTTCTATAGATATACAGTATAGATGAACTCTGATTCACCATAATCACACACACACACACACGCATGCACAACTATCTTTATCAGGACATCCATAGATGTCATGATTTTTATGCGGTATATTCTTTCCCCCTGATACTAAACTTAACCCTCACATTTTTTACATTTACTTTATTCTTTGAGATGTAGGAGTCAAGTGGGGAGAAGAAATTGTGTGTTAATGCAATGCTTGTGGTACACACACAATAGCTAGAACGTATAGGAATTGATATGAGTCACTTAGAGGAGGTAATCTAAATAAAAGATAATTACAAAGAGAAGCGTTCTGGATTCATAAATTAAATCACTTAGCCCAAACAGAATAAATGCAAAATTGGATCTCTCTGTGTTTCTTTAAAGTATTGTTGCTTACCCACAAGATTGGAAACGATGGGTTTTGAGTTTATAATGAAGCAAATAATGATTATTTATGACGAGAATGTTTTTTAATGTCTCAGATTTTTGGGATTTGATTGTATCAATTGGCCAATATATGAATGAGTGACGAAGATTTATATGAGATTCTTTGAACAAATTTGCTCTCTCTGATTATAGAGATTTTTATAGGTGGAGGAGACATCCCTTATATACGAAAAGAAATGAGGTTGGATTGTTTTTAGCTATTGAGTATTTAATTAATACTGTAGGGGATTGACTATGGAATAAGAGGGTGGAGTGAGAAAGGTATTGAGACGAAATGTTTGTGTTTTACATCTCAGAAGAATGTAAAAAAAAAAGAAATATTAAATAATTATTTAATGACTGCAGATCATGACCTTTTGAATTACACACACGCACATATATGTAGATGCCATATAATCAAATATAAAACCCAACACTGAGGGCCTGGATTCATCTTCATCCTCCTGCTAATGTAGATGTTGGACTGAAGCAGCTGATTTTCATTTATACTGAAGAAGAGGCAGAGGATTACTGAAGAACTACTGAGAGATTTCAGCTGCTGTCTGGGCTTTCACTGCCTTTCCACACCTTCCTTTCTTCATGTGTTCAATACTTTTTCCCTGTGTTATTTTATTTGTAAACCATTAGATTGGCTTTCTTTGCATATATGGATTTCTTTGGTTGTTACCAACATCTGGGGAAAATTTCAAGTCAAGGCACCTTTAGAAATATGTTTTCTGAGAAAAATGGTGACGTGTATACTTATTTCCCCCGCTAAATATGATAAACATTACAAATAAATTTAAAGATCTAATTGTTTCGTATAGTTTTCTTTCTGTATATGTGTTTGTATCACATTCTGTATCATGTACACATTACACACAGATATTTAAAGTCAAAACAAACTATTATGTTGGATGTGATTAATCATAGTTAATCTTTGACCTTCACTATAATTTACCTGTAAAGACTACGTTCCATGTATGATTTAACAAGATTTTAAAACATGTTCTTGTCCCTGACACGAACACACAGTGCATTTCTTTTTCTCTTTTGACGTGCCACACAAACAGTAATCCTACTTCTGCAAAACAACAAAAATAGCCAAAAGATGTGCACTGCATTTGTGTGTTCGTTAGCGTGCGCGCGTGCATGAAAAACAAATCCTAGACTCAAAATTCAGCGCACAGTCAAGACGATACAAAGACGGATCATTAAAAAAAGAATAGGGGCACAACAGCTCTCCAAAAGCGCCCTTACAGATGGTTGATTTCCATAATGACAGCAGAGACGGAGAGATCACTGGGTTTGTCAGAGGCTCATTCATGATCTCACGGATTCCGATTGACTTGTGTTAAAAAGAATTACAGACTTCAAACTCTGTATGTGCGCCACTGCTGTCCTTCTTCAGGGTTCATTTCTAGTCTCAGTGCTAAAGAAACAGCACGAGAGAGAGACAGATGTTGTAGTGAATGATTTTACGGCGTTTCGTGTGTCAGGTGCTGTCACATAAAGATGAGTAACTGTGCAAGAGTTTGAGGCTCACCACAGATCACAGCACGCTTGTGTGAGAGTGAGCGAATGTGTGTGTTTATGTGAATGAGGCTGTCAGCGTGTGTGGTTTTGTGTGTATTTGTATCTTTTTATGGATCAGGATGAGTCAACCGCGTCAAGTATAATTTATGACTGTTCTGAATAGAAATATTTGAAGAACTACTGGGCTCAGTGAGAAAGAGAAAGCATCGTTTCTCGAAGCCTCACACACACTACATCTACTGTTTAGATGCATGCTGTGTATCATTAACTAAAAATGAATACAAGAAAAAAGGCAATTTTTAACTACAACAGCAATACAGTAACACCACAAATGTTCACTACAAACGTGTTGAGGAGAGAGCAGCGTCCATCAACACATCCATCAGAGGCACAGAAGAAAAAGCCATTAGCTGTGCTCATGATATCAGCAGGCAGGTGTCCCTCCACAGCACTCATATCAACACTAATATCTGCCAGCAGCAGAGCAATGTGCTCACCTTCACGCCTCTAACAAACACACATACACTCACACTGTAATATCCTCAACACTGTACATGCGTGCAGATAACAACAAGCTAACAAAATAATAATGATTTACGTGACTCTTGCATATTCATATGGTAAGCTGGAGGATGGATGGTTGAAACATTACTTACAGACTGTCTTATAGACAGACAGAGAAACAAATTGTTAGATTGGGTAGATGGATTAACATTGGATGATTTAACATTATATGGGTGGATGAACATTGGACAGGTGGATGGATGAACAAATGGATTAATTACCATTAGATTGCGTGGATGGATTGGATGGAAGGATGGATTAATGTTAGATTGGATTGATGGTTGGATGAATGTTGGATGGATGGATTAATGTTAGATAGGAGAGATGGGTTAATGATGGATGGATGGATGTATGGAAGGATAGATAGATATATGGAATGTTAGACAATGATGAATAGATAAACAATGTAAAATGAATTGATGAATGAATCATTTTTAGACTGAAAGAAAAAAGGATGGATGGACGGATTAACGGATGTACGCTTGGATGAAGGTTAGATGGATGGATTAATGTTGGATAGGATGAAGGGATTGATGTTAGATAGTTTGGAAAGATTAATGTTAGACAGGATGGATGGATGGATGAATTAATGTTAAATAGTTTGGAAGGATTAATGTTAGACAGGATGGATGGATGGATGAATTAATGTTAGATAGTTTGGAAGGATTAATGTTAGACAGGATGGATGGATGGATGGATGCATTAATGTTAGATAGTTTGGAAGAATTAATGTTAGATAGGATGGATGATGGATGAATGTTAGATAGGATTGATGGATGGAAATATTATTGTTAGATAGGATGGATGGATGGATGGATGGATGGATGGATGGATGGATGGATGGATGGATGGTTGGATGTTAGATAGGATTTATGGATGGATCTATTGATGTTAGATAGGATGAATGGATGGATTAATGTTAGATAGGATGGATGATGGATGGATTGATGGATGTTAGATAGGATTGATGGATGAATCTATTATTGTTAGATAGGATGGATAGATGGATTAATGTTAGATAGGATGGATGATATATAGATGGATGTTAGATAGGATTGATGGATGAATCTATTAATGTTAGATAGGATGGATGATATATGGATGGATGTTAGATAGGATTAAAGGATGGATCTATTAATGTTAGATAGGATGGCCGATGGATGGATGGATGGATTAATGTTAGATAGGATGGATGATGGATGGATGGATGAATGTTAGAAAGGATTAACAGATGGATCTATTAATATTAGATAGGATGGATGATGGATGGATGGATGAATGTTAGAAAGGATAGACAGATGGAACTATTAATATTAGATAGGATGGATAGATGGATGAATGGATTAATGTTAGATAGGATTGATGGATGGATCTGTAAATGTTAAATAGGAGAGATGGATTAATGATGGTTAATAGATGGAATGATTAATAGATGGAACGTTAGACAATGTTAGATGTAAAACTAATTGATGAATGAATGATTTTTGGACTAAAAGAAGGATGTATGCAAGTATGAATGGATGAATAGACAGTAAAAATAATTCATGGATGAGGTTTTTGACTGAAAGAAGGATGAATGGATGGATAAACAATGTACAAATTATTGATGGATGAATCATTTCTAGACAGAAAGAAATATGAATGGACAGACAAGAAAGAACAATTGAGGAATAGTTATAAAAATGTGGATAAAAATTAAAACAGTAGATGGATAAATAAACAAAACATTAGACAGAATAAATAATTGATGGGCTAATTGGTTGGATGATGGATGGACAAAATGCCACAAAGAACAATGAATGGATGTATAAAACGTTCAACAGAAGTTAAACACACAGACATGTAGTGCAACTGCGCTAGTTTGATTTCCACTTATAGATCCGTTGCTGAACCATTCACATTTTTTCCCAGCTTTCTTCTCATATCAATACTGTCCTCAAATATCTCAACTGTCCTCTCTACTACGCACATATATAACAAGATACATGGACAAATTCTTGAAATGACAGATAGAATGGTAGATCAATCAACTTATGGTAGATCAACTCAACAGACAGACAGACAGACAGACAGACAGACAGACAGACAGAGAGACAGAGAGACAGACAGACAGACAGACAGACAGACAGACAGACAGACAGACAGACAGACAGACAGACAGACAGATAGATAGATAGATAGATAGATAGATAGATAGATAGATAGATAGATAGATAGATAGATAGATAGGGACAGATGCTCACCTGGAAACTGGTAACTGTAGCTAGGAGAGAATCCTGTGTATCCACGACCATACGTTGCCACAATGTTTGGATAACCTGCAAACACACACAGACAGAAACAACGTCAACACTGGTGAAGTTTCTGCTGTTCTTTTCTGCCCTCTGGGGTAAAAATTACACGTAACCTTTAACCTGGATCAGCCAGGAAGTATTAATTGTAGACGTGTGGATGAGTGTATCAGAAGAACAGAATGAACAGCACAACAGTGCATTTAAACACATCAGCAGCTCAAATCAAGAGGCAACTTCAGGGAATTTCACTGCCATCTGTTTTCCTCTGATGCTGAGAGAGAGCGAGAGAGAGACTGATGTGTGTTATTCTTGGCCTTATTTTCACATGTTTTCTCTTTGATGCTTTACATGTGGCATTAATTTCATGTTTTTCCCATAACAGGAAAAAGTGAAACAGCAGTCGCCAGAGCTCGATAATAAATCACGACACACAGATTTGAGAAATCAGTCCAAACACAGCGTGGTGTAGAGCTGGCATATGTGCACTTATGATTTCCAGAAGCTGTCACAAGTCACTCAATATCAGGTGACAGCACTGAAAACACTTTTGACAGCTCTCAGAGAATACACAGCTAAAAAAAGGGTTCTTCCTCAGAGGATGTGCTCACACGACTGCAGGAGCTCAGCAACATCTCCCCCACACTGCAACATGTGCTGGCCAAAAAAGCAGCATTCTCCAGGAGACACAAGAAAAAATTACAAGAGACAAAGAAAAGAAGAAAAGAAATGAGATGATGCAAAGAAAAGCAACAAATATATATAGTTCAAGGCAAAATTATTAGCATTTTTTAAATAATTCTCAAGTGCTGTTTAGCAGATTTTGTTTTTAACACATTTTTAAACAGTTTAAATAAAATAATTTCTAGTAACGTATTTGTTTTGTCTTCACCATGATGACAGTACATAATAATAACCACTAGATTTTCTGATAGGGTATTCCTGTGTCAGATGTGAAAGTAGTTTGTGGGACTGCTATATAAGAGTTATTATTATGAATTGTAGATAGAGAAATTCATCAATTTTTTATCGTTTTTTTTTTTTTTTTTTTTACGGTATTTAATGTTATGAATGTATTGAAATATATGCTTGTTTGTTGTAAAATTTGTAATAATGACCAAAAAAAGCTAATTTGTGCATCTCCTTACTTCCGTGTGCAGCCATGCTGGTGTTAAAGATGGTGTATTCTGGGAAATGTTGGAAAAGTGTGCTCCTAAAAAATCTCAGTTTCGAGAGCTATCTAGCCCTTCCCCTTAGCCCTCTAGGTTTTTTGTAAATAAACTACATGTTAAAAATATATGTTAAGTGGAACCTTCTTAATGCAAAACTAAATACAATAAATTCACAAATAAAAATGCTTTCACAAACTTTGCACAGTTCATTAGCCGTACTTTTGATTTGTGATTAGATATTAATATTTGCATGTCCAGTATGGAAGGAACGTTCCACTGTTCATGGGGGCCGCTGGTTTAGAAAAGAAGTAATAATGTTAAAATCTTAATGGTTATAGACAGATTTGACAACATACGATAGAAAAAATATAAGAGACCTATATGATTAATACAGGCTTCTTGGCATTGGTCTAGGCCCCCTAATTCCCCTAACCGCCAGCATACCCTTACTTATTGTTTTTTTTTCTGTCCCTGATTGTAAATACATATATAAAGCATAAGACTACATGAGAGAACCAAGAAAAATCAGATGACACGTAATGAAAAAACGCACAAGAAATAAAGAAGGCAAGAGAAGAGCTGAGCTGGCCTGTCCGTATCTCACTGCATTATGGGTAAAAAGGCTGTGTCCTCCCTGGCGGCTGCTATCTCAGCCTCTGATTTGCATTATTAATGTTCAGGCTAATATACCTATTTTATGGCTCAACAGCTCAGATTCACTTTAGAATCAATTATACATCTGCGGCAGCTGAAGCAGGCAGCAGCTCAAATGTGTATTAATCTCAGCAAACATACACGCGCCGCCCGACTATAAAGATAAATGACACGATTAGCTGCGGTAAACAAAAGCGTGAATGCGGCAGCTTTAATGAGATTTGGCGTATAAGAAACTTACAGTTCCTTAAATAATGAGCCCTGATCTGCTGCTGGGATTTTTTTTCTCTGTATGCAAATTGCGCTAAAGTTCTGTCTGGTCGTCCTGTTCACTCCGCTTTCATTTAGATAAGAGCAGAGTTAATATTTTCACATGAGTGCTTCACGCTCTTGTTCTCTCTCTTTCTCTCTTCACCCTCCTCCACAGTAATCCATGACAACTTCCAGAAAGTTCACGCCTTGTTAAAAGTTCAGTATGAGGGATCCGTGTGTAACTCGTATGTTAAATAAAAAAATATATATATATGTTTTTAAAGAATCACTGTACATAAAATCAAGTCGAATAAAAATTATTCAGACAACATACTTAGTTTTTTAGTTTAGTTTTTTTTAAGTTGGTACAGGACAATATTGTTCATTTAATCCATTCAATTCATCTTTATTTCGATAGTACAATGTATATTGTGTCAAAGCAGCAATTCAGGCAGGAAGGAGAGTAGTGTAGAATGATGGTGTAGTTCTAGCAAATTAAAGTTTAGTATAAGGCACAATTCCAATTCTATTATTTTACCCACACCCCTTCCCCTTGAAGGAGAATGTTAAGGGCTTCAAGATTTACCCTTTAAAATGGGACAGCACTACAACACCTGCACATGCCATTATATGTCCTTGCAATCTCTTGCTTCATACGAGATCAGACGATCGCGACTGCTGTAGTCATTCCAGTTATGTTATTTTTTGGTATTTATCTTCAGGAAATCACTGAAGGCATATATGATGTTATCATAATGATATAATGCGGCAATAAGATCCTAACTGTACTGTGTATTTATACCGTAAACAAAAAACAACAACATTAACATTATACCAGACAATGTAAAAAGCTCATTTCCAGCCACTAGACTTTTCTGACAGGGTACCCCAGAGTCATCGAGTGTCAGAATGTTGTCGGACTGTTATTATTAGGGATCATAGTTAGCGAAATTTAGCAGGTTTTATTGTTGTTTTATCGTCAGGGTTAAAAAAAAAAAATGAACGCAGTTATGGATCTATTAAAACGGGCTTGTTTGTTGTATAAGTTCGTAATAATGACAAAAAATAATACTAATTATGCCATTGTAGATGGTGTATTCTGGGGAATTTTCCTACCCCGTGGTTTGAAGTGTGATCCTTAAAATCTCCATTTCGAGGGGTATCTAGCCCTTCCCCTTAGTCGTAAGCCTTTAAACTAAAGAGAATTGGGACACCCCTACCCCCTCACATGAACGAGCAAAGCGAGGGAAGGGCTAAGGTGTAGAACTGTGATTGGGCCTTGAAGTTAAGGTCAGTTCAGTTCAGTGTAATGTAAATGACACTGCTCAAGAAACTTATGCACTGAAGAGAAACTCCACTGATGCGAAGCTCCCATTATGAGTAAGGAAAGCAAAATAAACTGCGACACGTAAACCCCAAAATTCTTCATACAGCGAACTACAGGAAGCACAAAGTAAAGTCATAATTATTCATTTATTCATTCTCCTTCGGCTTAGTCTCCATAGTAAAAATCGTCACAGCAGAATGAACCACCAACTATTTAACCATAGTATTGGGAAAGTACACAAAGATACACTCTCACATTCACTACGGTCAATTTATCTCATTCACTTCACTTATACTGCATGTCTTTGGCTGTGGGGGAAACAGAAGCACCCGGAGGAAACTAAAGTTATAATTACTGTATATTTAGCCTTATTCATAAGTCTAGCCACACATTCATTCATAAAGACTCAAATTGTGCTGATGACTGTTTTCTATCATCGACCAAAACTGACAGTAAAATAAAAAAATAAAGTAAACTGTTAAGTATTATGCCCAAAAAGTCTTCATACTGTGCATAAAAACCAGCAGGAAGTGAAGCACTGCTGCTGTGAGTCTGAAACAAAGTTTCTTTAACTACAGGCTGACTTTGATGCCCAACTTAGTATTGATTGGACTGGTTGGTTGTAATCAGGGTGCGAATTATACATTGATGACTGGGAAGGGGGCCAAGTTTTTTCGGTTATGCTCAGTAATATGCCTCAGTAGACCAAATTAATACATTTAATTTAATAACATCTGATTTATTAAACAAACTTGTTTAAATGTTTCAGTGTTTTGTGGGATATTTTGCGGTTCTTAATGACATTTGTAATATTAAATAAACAGTTTGCATACCTGCACCTTTTAATGGATGACCATGAAAGACTGCAAAGATTTCATGTATTTTACTGTTTAACTTCCATGTGCGAGTCAGTGTATAATAAAATACAAACTATACATCTAGTTTTACGGACATCTGCAAATGCCTATTTTGAAAGAAACACGTTTTGTAAACACTGTTTCCACTGAGTGGTACAGTACGGTACGGTATGCTTTTATCGTCATTCCCACTGTCAAATGATGTACCAAATCACTCTTTTGGCACCCTTTCGAAATGGTATCAAATACGAGAAAGGGTACCAAAAGGTGGAGCTACATACGCAGATGAATGCAGATTAGTTACAGAGATACGTCACAAGCTCGTGTGGAGCAAGTGAGAATGAAAACAAAGGAACCGCCATGTTTTAAATACACAGCCGAGACATTACATCGTAATACCATATGCATATAATAACAAGCCATGGATGACCCAAACTCAAACAAACCTTGTCATTGTCTTGAAGTACAGACACAAAGCCAAGAAGAACAAAATCTGCCATGTCCTGTGGTTGTTACGAGTGCGAGCGTTTTTTGCTTTGCTTTCTTTTTTGTTTGCAAATAAGGACAAAATGTCTGCTGTGTGTAGTTTTTCTCTAGTTGGTAACATATCAGAGACTTTAAGGGGCTGTATGTGTTCATATATGTTGCATTTATTTATTTATTTAAATAATTACAGATGTTACAGTTTGCTATTTTGCACTGTCATTGATCTGCAGTTACAGTATAAGCATCTATAAATATGTTCATAGAAAAGTTATGAACATTTATACACAAGTATTGATGTGTTTAAGACATCTGTTTTGAGAGAAATGCTTCTCATATTGTATATAAACAACCTGTACCTTTACTTTGAGCAAGAATGATGTCGACTGAAACTTTCTGTTGTACACCACACTCACCAATAAGGTGACCCGTACCATTCCGTACTGTACCAGTCATTGGAAACGGGCAATTGCGCTGTCTGTTGGTGCTCCTGATTTGCCGGTTTCAAACCACTGAATTAATATTTTTGCCGCAAATATGCAGTCAATGGTATGAACCATTATAGGGGTGGTCAATTGTATATTAAAGTTATTTTAATATTTAATATTCTTTAAAGATACAGATCAGAGCAAACTTTCTTAACTATTAAAGGGCAGACCCTTTAATACATCTTGTTTTGATGTCCTTCAGGGAGGATCAAGCGTTAATTAGAGGGGTCGGACCTGCCCAAACCCCCTTGTAATTTAAGGCCTTTTTGCAATCCATTATGTACTGTTCATTTCTATCAAAAAGAGATTATTTCATTCTTGTCACATTTTATTACCATTTTCTAAGTTCATCCGTAGTGAATAAACTGATAATGTGAGAAAGAAGGATAGTGCTGATTGGTCAGTTTATTCATGATAAAGCACAACCCTGAACAAAGCTCCCTTTACAGCTACTCATAGACAACATAAACAATCAGCAGATAATAGGATGAGGCATGGGTGTGCTGTGTATGACGAGTGCAGCTGAGGTGTTCTGCTGTCATTAGTGAAGGCAGAGGTCAGGCAGATGGCTGCACTCAACATTAGTCTCATTTTCCTCTTCATTTGAGCCATTAATACAGACGCTTATCTGCTCATCAGGTCTGATGAACCCCACAGCACCTCAACTAGACTAACATCACACACTTGCCTCTGGTCCAGCAGAGTTATAACCAAAAGCCCCGCCTATTGTTCATCAGTCCACCGGTTAGTAAGCAAGCGTGCAAGTGTGTGTGTTAGACTTACTCAACATGCCCATGCCCAACATGAAGGCGTCCATGGTGTAGGGAAGACTTCTCGCCCTCCCCCTCGTGCCTGGAGGAAACATCACCTCCTTTGGTTGAGCCTTCTTACATTCTACCTGCAGACAGACACACAGAGAAGAAGAGAAAAGCTAAGCGTCAACATTTCAGACTAACCAAGACATTAAAATGATCATGGCAGACTTAAAGTCCACACAAACCAGAAGCTGCAAACACCTTTTGTTCATATTGTTACAGTTACAGAGAAATGGAAATTGAATAGTTTTTCTCCTGTGAGCTGACTGGATGTAGTAAAGTAGACATTCTATTCATAAATACGGGGAAAGAGGTTTTAGATGAGTTATTACAACCTAACCGGCACCACCTGCTCAACATTTTGGTTTGTTGTCAATACAGAGAGTTGTAGGGGCGTGGTTTACTATATTAGCCACGCCCAATACCCAAGACAGACATAATCTGAGAATTTAACTGAAAACAAACAGGAAGAGCATTTTCAGATTTTAGAATCCAAGAGCTAATTTTTTTTTTCCAAATGATATGCACAGATCAATTGTTCACCATGCATAAAACTAGCAATGTGAGCTAACAAAATCAATATGGTTAGATTTAATTTATTTGTACTTTAATGGTTAGTTTATATAAGTCCTTTTTTGGACTTTGCATGTCTATGTAGGGTTAGAGATCTCTCAAATTTCATCCAAAAGATCTTAGTTTGAAAATGATCAAAAGTCTCAGGGGTTCGGGAAGACATAAAGGTGAGTCAATAATAACCATTTTCATTTTTCTTGCTTTGAACTAACCCTTTAACAGTATACAATTAAAGTATACAGCATATGCACATCCAAAAGAATATTTTCTGAACTGATCATAATACACAGATTTTTTTTTTTTTTGCTTTATTCATAAGGATACATGTGACATTAGACAAACCAAACAGAAACATGTCAAGAACACACACACAGCATGTATTTCATGCATTCATAAAGAAATGTAACATTAACAGCCTACAGTTTCTATCATTATTTGCATATTGATGCACACTGATAAGCAAAATCACTTGCTTTGCCAATCCTTTAAACCAGTGGTTCTCAAACTGTGGTACATGTACCACTAGTGGTACACAGGCTTCTTTCGCGTGGTACACAGAGAAATCAGATATGTCATATGTACATGCAACATATTTCAAAATGTATCAAAAATGGTTCATGAAAGAATATGATCACATATAGCATATATATTTGAGGTCCAAGCAACATTTTCAGGATTTGATGAATAGGATACTATGTTTATAATTTACATTAAGTACAGTTTTTTTCTTTTCTTTTTAGGAACAGAGACCTATCATTTTTAATTACCTTATAAAAGCAAACTTTTTTTTTTGTTAGTTTTTTTTTTTACATATAAGCACAGTACAGTGTTAATGATCAAACTATTTATAATGTTTAAAGTGGCTGATCATAATAAATATTCATATTAATATAAATTAATCTGCCGCTTTTTTGACCTGTGCAAAGCTGTAGCTGCTTTACTGGGCCTACTACGCTACTGTATTTCAATACTGGTCATTTTGGTGGTACTTGAGAGAGATTTGTTTTCTGAGGTGGTTCTTAATGAAAAAGTTTTAGAACCACTGCTTTAAACTATACATTAAAATAAGCAGCACACTGCCAAAAATAAAAATTGTTTAATCCAAAATAAAACAAAAAATGCTTCATGGTCGTGAAATAATTGTGCCCAACTGAGCCTAGTTCCTCTCAAGTTTTTTTTTTCCTTCACTTTCGTCAACTGGTGAAGTTTGTTCCTCACCACTGTCGCCACTGGCTTGCTTGCTCTGGGACTTGTGGAGCTGCGCATCATTAGATTTGCTCTTCAGTGTTTGGACTTTCAGCAGTGAAAATTAAACCACACTGTACTGACCTAAACTAAACTGAAGATCAACTCTGAAAACTGAAATGACACTGTTTCAATCCACTAGAACTTCTATGTGAAGCTGCTTTGACACAATCTATATTGTAAATGCGCTACAGAAATAAAGATGAATTTAATTGCCTCAGGGGTAGTTGATGTGTTGGTGCTCCTTGGATAAAGATTAAATCTATTTTAGATTAAATCCATTACAATTTTAATATTCCACAACAAGTTTTTACAGTATTTCTGATCAAATATGCACAGCGGTGTAAGGACTTTCCAAAAACTTGAGAAATCACATATATATCAAATTATTTTTGGATGAAATGTGGCTTTTTCTTGTCTATATTCTTGACAGATTTCATAAACTTCACCCACCTATTGTTTGGAGGAGTCAATAGAGCGTAAATATAAAAGCTAAAAATGTGAGATTTTGGCACAGAGCTTGAGTCACATTTCAAGCCCTGTCAGTTTGAGTTTTGTGTACATTATTGGCATAACAAACAGCCATGCGTTTGTGTATCCAAAGCATTCTTTAGACAACAAAGCTAACACACACACACACACAAAAGAAATGAAATCAGCTAAAAGTCTGAGCGTTTGTGATCTCCTCTCCTCATCCTCACGTTCCTCACTCTCTGATTGACATTTGAACCTGTAGAGCTGAGCACATGAGCGGACAGCAGACAGCAATCCCGCCTGAGAGACAGAGGAATATTCCTCCAGAGATCCAGCAGGGGAAAGACAACACGTCTCTAGCAAAGGGGAGAAATAAACAAACACACACGCAGAAAACATCAAACCCAAACAAACACACAGACGCTTGCTCTCTCTGGTGATACGAGCAGAACCGGGTCAGACGAGGGAAGACTTTTCTCCTGACAGGCCTAGCAGCCAGAGGATCCTATTTACCAAGCGCATCTGCATGCTTACAGCAAGAGAGAGAGTGTGTGTGTGTCTGCTGACAGCGCCTCTACGGTAAGAACACGATGCATTTGCACTTGGCTGAATCTGTCCTCTGTGTTGATCGACTCGTCTGCCTGCCCAGGGCCCGTCCATCTGTATGTGTGTGTGTGTGTGTGTGTGTGTGTGTGTGTGGGGCTTGGCCTTTCAAAAAAAACACACATACATACACACAAACTGCAGATTCTCTCCCACTGAGACTTGCACAGATGCTGCTCAGCACAGCTGGACACACAAAATAACACACACACACAGACAGAAGGACAGACACACACACACACTCACACATTTCTGCTTGCTGCGCCATCAGTGCTGCTCTGAATACATGAGGTATTTCTGGATGGGGCCAGTGACGGATATTTAATATTCATTCTAAATTAATGAAATGTAAAAAGGCTTCCACTCAGAGCGGGCAGCGTGGGAGATCGTATAACACGTACACGCATCTACAATTACTACAGACTGATCAGAAGGTGCTGCTAATCAAATAATCAGCATGTTGAACAAACAATCTGCTTGCTGTCTGCCGTGGAGCACAAAAGGAGATATTACAGTACATGTTCATGCTGTTCTTTTCAATTCAAACTATGTTGATCAGTCTGAGCCGCAGTAAAAAAACTTCTGTAGTGTCACAAAATTGATGCTATATTGATGAGCAAATACGCAGCTGTATCCTATCTAGACTTTACCAACAGTCAGTGTAGACCTTTTTTAGGAAGTTTTTGTTTTTTCAAGTTAGAATGTGGGGGGCGAAGCAGTGGCGCAGTAGGTTGTGCTGTTGCCTCACAGCAAGAAGGTCGCTGGTTCGAGTCTCGGCTCAGTTGGCGTATCTGTGTGGAGTTTGCATGTTCTCCCTGCGTTCGTGTGGGTTTCCTCCAGGTGCTCTGGTTTCCCCCACAGTCCAAAGACATGCGGTGAATTGGGTAGGCTAAATTGTCCGTAGTGTATGAGTGTGTGTGTTTGTGTGTGAATGTGTGTGTGGATGTTTCCCAGAGATGGGTTGCGGCTGGAAGGGCATCCGCTGCGTAAAAAATGTGCTGGATAAGTTGGTTCATTCCGCTGTGGCGACCCCAGATTGATAAAGGGACTAAGCCGACAAGAAAATGAATGAATGAAGTTATGATGTTTCTGTAATACCACCTTTCTGTGTTATGTGTGTTATTTAAGTTTGTGTAAAAGATGAACGTCCTTAATTTATGAAATCAAGAAGTAATTGTGGATTGTGGACTTTCATTCTTATGGTGAATGGTAATGCAAGAGCTGTCAATCAAGCCAAGCGCTGATCTCGTCTGTAACCCACAATACCCAGACACTGTTCCAGAGGATCCAGTTCACATTGAATACACAACATCATCCCAACACATTCAGACCCTGAATGTTCATGTAGCTGTAGCAATGTGGCATGTACAGTAAGGATTATTTTAAGATGTTAAGATGTATTGCTTTATCCTCCTAAGGCCCAAGGTGTTTTTTTTACATGCATTTCTTTATTTCTCTTCGCTATTTGGGCTTATTGGAACCTAAATAGAATAAAACCTAAGTATCATCTTTTGATATGATGTACTTTTAGAGACTCGTGGTCCGAATTTAAAACACTTTATTCTGACTGTTTTTAATGCAAATATAACATAAATTCATTCATTTTCTTTTCAGCTCAGTCACTGTTTTAATCCGGGCTTGCCACAGCAGAATAAACCACCAACTTATTCAGCAGGTTTTTACGCAGCAGATGCAGATATTTTGGTAATTTTTAATCTAGAACCAGATGTAGTGAGCGTTGCTAATGCTTGTAGCTACAAACCAAACTGGATTTTAGCATCACATAATTTTATTCTTAAATACGGTGATTTTAAGTTTGCTGAACAAACAAGATCCTGTTTCTGTTTATTTTTCTGAAATTGACTCATTTGTTGAGTGGTGTGATGAAAACATTTTAAAAGTAAATACAAAAAAAAAAAAAAAAAAAGGAAATAATCTTTCATCCCAAGTGTGATGTCGAGCATTTACCAGTGTTTGTAGATAATCAAGAAATCACTCAGGTACAGTCATACAAGTATTTGGGAATTTACATAGACCGGTCTCTAACATGGGACACTTACGTAAACTGGATCTGTGAAAAGCTTTACCAAAGACTGTATTTTCAACTAAGTTTATGGTTCTATGGCGTTGATAAGAAAATCATGTACTTATTATATCAGGCTGTATTTGAGAGTGTCATCAGGTATGG